AATGAGATTTGACTGGCAGCAGGCTTCTCATGAGTAACAGCAGTCTAGAAGCAATGGAACAGTATTTTCAAAGTGCAGAGAGAAAATTACTGTCGACTAGTATTCTCTAAACTGAACTATCTTTTGAAAGAGAGGCTCTAATAAAGATATTTTCAGATATTCAAGAACTAAGACAGGTGTTACTACTCAAAGATCCTCACTGAAAGAATGACTTATTGACATAATCTAAGAAAAAGGAAATCAAGTGAGATATGAAAAGCAATACTGAGTAAATATATTGATAAAAGTGTTGCTAAATCTAAATACGGAGAGACTTAAAAGAAAGAGACAGAGAGACATGCATATTCCTAGCTTAGCTCAAGTAAGATGATGTTCTGCCTTCATTTTAGCTGCCATCCTGTGATCAGGTGTCTGTTACTGTCTATTCAGTGTCACATTTTCCACATTTGTGCTTTCTGTTGGTGATTGTGTTTAAAATGGCCCCCACGCAGAATGCTGAATGCTTTGCAGTGTTTCTGAGACACAAGAAGGTTATGATGTTGTGCCCTAGAGAAAGAATTTATGTTAGATAAGCTTCATTCAGGCATATAATGCTGTTGGCTATAATATATATGAAATAAGGTGTCTTTCTGCAGATGCACACATAGAACAAGGTTATGTATTGATCAGTTGATGGAAGTGTGACCAGAGGCGGCAGGAGCCTAACCCTATATTTCCTTTAAAGAGAAACAGTTTGGCATTTGCTAATTCAATTTTGGTGAGAACTTCACAGAACTTGCAGCAAACAATGAGAAGCAACTGTCATTCTTTTTCAATTAATTTAAAATCTAGCGTTTATTGCTTGTAGTTCCTTATTTCTACCTTTTTTCCTTTGTATTCGAAATTAATTAGATTTTACTCTCTCATCTCCTTTATAGTACTAAAGCATAATATTCTAGATCTACAGTTTTGGAAATAGAGCCTGTAGCAACTATATTGCAAACAAGGGCTATTCATTCCTTGACAGGATATCATGTAAGCAGACCCACTAAATGTCCTTGCTATGCACAGTCATATGAAGTACTCTGGATTTACTCAACTCATAAATGAATCAAGGATTTGTCAAGTTATTCTGCTTAATAATACCAACTTTACAACAGTTGTCATTTGGTGGTAACTCCTAGGTCCACTCATCTTGCCCGCATGTAAAGGATTGAGTTCATTTAAATAAAGTCAGTCTGGAACCTGCAACTTCTTTCTGGGATGAGCTGCATCTAAAGTGCCTGAGATCAATCTGCTGAATTCAAGAATTCTGAGTTATCTAAGCAGATGATACCATCTTATGCTCCCAGTAAAGGATTCAGAGTACTGTGTGCAAAAGGGGCTTTTGGGGTGAGGGAAATATTTTCTGTGTTGGTGGTGGTGATTACATAGCTGTATACATTTGTCAAAATACATAGAGCTGTGACTTAAAAAATAAATCTGACTTTAAAAAACAAGAATCCTGTCATATTTGGAAAGAAAATAATGCCAAAAGAGGCTAAACAATATGTGGGGATGGGTTGCTCTTTATTTTAGCTTATTGTTAGAGAAAAGGATGAGACAAAAATCTTTATTAGTGAAACTTTGTAGTAATGGCTTATTTTCTACATTTTCTTCCACAGCACAGTTCTTTACTTTGGATTTTTAATTGCCTTATACAAAAATTCTAAATTTTTCTTCAAGAACCAGTTTTATTTGTAGCCATGAATTAAAGCATGTTTTCAGCCATTCTCTAATGTAATTGAAATCTTAACTCACATAACTCATTCATTTGAGTCTTTTAATGTCTCTCATTGAATAAAAGGCTTCTGACAGGAGTGAAACGGGGTGATTGAGATGAGAAGGGGAAGGAGAATGCTCCTCCAAAGCAATGGCTTCTCTTTGGAACTTTTAAGTTCATAAACATGAAAGGCATATGCTCACAAACCTGTGTGATACAGGGTTCTCCCCCTCCCACGACCTACACAGGTAAACTGAGTAAATGAAAATATTTCCTGTCACTTAATACTTTTCAGGAGGGGAGAGCTTAAGAGATGGAGGAAGGAGCCTGCTTGGGTTTCTGACACTGGATACCCACTACGGGCAGGGAGAGGCAGATACCTGGGCAGGTGCAGCAGGTGTGAGTCTGGTTTCGCTCAGGATGGTAACCCTTCGTCACATTTCTACAGCTCAGGCACCAGGAGGCCACTGTCCCAGCAGGGCCTCCTCACGGTTTCCACGGACCATGTCCCTATTCCGCTCCCGCTCTGCTAAGGCTGGAAGAAGCCTTCTACACAGAGTGGCAACTATGCTGTGGGGTCTGTACAGACACGTCAGAGGGCAGGATCCGCTCTCGTTGTTCGCCTCGGGAAACAGAACCACTGGTGGAGTGAAGAACTACTACCGAACAGGGCAAAGAATCCTGCTTCCATCATGCACTAATTGAAGCCTCGCAGGAGTTCTTATTCGCTCCTGAACAGAGTGAAGAACCTCACTGGGTTCTGGAGAGAATTAAGGGAGAGACCAGAGAGGATTGTACAGTGATCGTATGATCACTGCAGCGATTGGCACAGAGTTGCTCACAGGCTCCTTTTTTTTTTGGACAGATATAAAATTCATTATTTCCCTTCATGTTTTGTAAGGAAGCATGTAACTTTTATAAGGAAGTTTTTGTCTCTTTGTTTGAGTTATGAAGTACTTATGAAGTCAGGGTTTTTGATATAGTTATTCTATCTTTCAGTTTCCAGTTCTCCCAGTGATTTGGGTCTGAACCAAGGTCCTGTTTTCTATTCAGATTTCGATGGGCATCTGGTCTGAGTATTTGAAGTTCTTGTTTTTCATTCCTTCTGGTTTGACTGCTTCAAGGAGTGAGTGGGTTTAACAGCAAGGCACGCAAGTACCAAAATCCAATACTGGGATTAACATGCATTAGATTCGCCAAAAGGGCCACGGGTGACTACACTCCTGAGGGCATTTGGAACAAATCAGTACTATTGCATAGGGACAGGGTATAAAGAGAAAAAGAAAACACTCCCTCAGGTGTATCTTCCAAGCTTCCAGCCCAAGAACTTGTTAACCTGAAACAAACAACAACAACAAAAAACAGTTATTTTACTAGCAAAATAGCAGAAAATTGTAATTCAGGACATGCAAGCTACAGCGCAACCATAGGCAAATACAACGAACAAAGGAAACTAACGTTTTACAGAGAAGGAGAAAGGTGGGAGGGGTTGTTTTGAAAGAAAGTCCTTTGGAGAAAAGCAAAATTTCTGAGCGCTGACAGTCTTTCAGGGGTGACGTAACATACACCTTCCCCTTTCTGGGGCCCTTAATTGATGGTTCCTACCGGTCATGATTCTTCTATTGGGGGGTCTCTAGTCACAATTCTTCCTATAGTTGACATGGAGTGGTATGGCTCCCCTTTCTGACCGCCTGACGTCACTTTAGTGAGGTTTGTCCTCACTAACTCTAACCTTTCAATTTGATAACACTGGCGGAAAGCAAGTTGTGTAACGTGACAATTTGGTCAAAAGAATGGTTTGGTTTGAAACAAATATCCTTTATTTTTTAATTGAAATAGCACTCTGCCCTGTTAAACGTTTTCACCCAAAGCATATAACCTTACTACTTTTACAATTTTACAGAAAATAATGAATATTCTCAGGCACTGGTGTTTTGGTGTGTGCATGGTGGTGGGAAGGCGGCTGACACAAGCCTTAACACCTTCCCACTCCCTACAGTTCCGGATGACCCCTGATTAACGGAACTATGGAACCTAGAAATTTCCACAGCCCTCCTTCACGCCCCAGTCGGCCACGTGCCTGAGGAGCCAAGGGCTCTTTGGGTATCAGCTAAAGAAAGGTAACAGGGCTCAGAGGCTTTCAGATGCCTGAGAAAGCAAGCACGGGGTGCAGATCGACGGCACCTGCTCTGTCCCTTCTTCCCCACCTTCTTACTACCTTTTTTTTCATTTAGCAAGTATTTATTGATGTGTATTGTATGTGCAAATTTTCCAGGTTTTCTAGGAGAGGAGTCTTGGGGGAAAACTTTTTTTTTTTTTTGAGAAATACCTTTCCAGTGGCTTTTTGTGAATAACTTTAAAAGAAAAAAAAACCAAACTACATATTGGAGACAAACCTGTTTTTTTTAAATTGGTACAAACGTTGTATTCAACACTAGCGGTTTTGCAGTTTTTTGCCTTTTCTACCAGAAAACAGTATAAAGTGATTTCACAATGTGAAAAGAAAAGAAATTGCCTCTATGACCCAACGCAGGCTGTTCGGCAGCAATACCGGACATTCAACTTAAAATCGTGATTCAGCAGTAGAAATGCTTTTCCTTTTCCTTGTTTGAACTTTTCCTTTCTTTTCTGTTTTGATTTGTAGAAGAAATTTGTTGAAAGCATTTCACTTCAATGGTTTTTTAAAAAAGACAAGAGCCCTTGTCGTTTTTCTGACCTGATCAAAGAGTTTGTGTAGTGGATTTAAAAAGAAAAAACACTTCAATTTTGGAGCAAGGGAATATGTGTTTAGAAGAAATCACCTTCGTTTTTCCTTTTGTCCCAACGAGGAACCAAAATCTGTTTTAACTGCAGAGACACACGGACAGAAAGTCATTTTGCAACTGCCAAGTGTGGTACCTTCTTTTATTTGCTATTATACTGAGAAGATAAAAAAAGTAAAAAAAGAAACCGACTTTAAAAATTTTCAGATCACTTTATTTTTTTTTGCAGACTCATAAAATGCAACTACGGCTTAAAGAAATGCAAGAACTGCCTCGGGGAGTTTGTCATCGCGGGGAGACAGAGGACTGGCTACGCTGAAAGCGCCGGGACCGTGTGCACAGCAGGGACTCCCGGGGCTCCACCCTCCAGCTCACCTCCGTTCGCCCCGCCCTCGCCTCCGCCCGCCCGAGCGCAAGACTCGGAAGGGTCCCTGCGCGGCGGTGACGTTACGGCGTCGGGGCGGGGCCCGCGGCAGGGGCGGGGCCGCTTCCCGGATCTCGAGGAGGGGGCGGGCCGGGGGCGGTGGCCCGGCCGGGCGCGCGCAGCCCCTGCGGTTCGGGCGTGTGTAGCGCGCCGTCAGGCAGTCCCGCGGAGAAGCTGGAGGCTTCGGGATGTCGAGGCTGCCCGCAGTCCCAGAGAAGGGCTGCCCCGGGCCGAGCGAGCTGGACTCTCGGCGCGCAGGCTTCGTGCTGGGGCTGGACGTGGGCAGCTCCGTGATCCGCTGCCACGTCTATGACCACGCGGCGCTGGTCCGCGGCTCCAGCGCGCAGAAGGTGACCGGGAAGCAGGCGTCGGGCCGCGGGTCGGGGTCGCGCAGAGCACCCGGGGTCGGATAGCGGGAGGTGAGCGGGCGGGTCCGCCTCCGCTGGCCTGGATGCGGCCACCTGCAGCCCCGTCGAGCCGTGGGTCCAGCGGCGCGCCGGGACCGGCCAGATCTTACAGCCTCTCCCTGGGCAGGGCTGAAACCCTCGCGCCCTTCCCGTCCAGGCTGAGGGCAATAGGGGCCCGCTTTGTTTCCCGGGGACGTTCCCTTTCCTTCGGTCACCTGGCGATCGGGCTCGCCGGCCTGCCCTGGGTGGGACCGCGTTGACCCGCAAGGCAGGTGAGGCAGGGCAGGGCAGGGCAGCCCGCGCTCAGCCAGCTTTGAGACTTGCTTGGTTTTTCCTGCGCCTGATAGATTTCAACTTCGTCTTTATTTACATTCTAATTATTTAGATCTTGATAGAAGTTAACTTTATGGTCCATTCTTCAGTTGTCATCATTAATAACCACTAAGGGCTGGTTCCTCACACGAGCAGCTAATTTCCATGAATATGGGAGGTTCTGGACAAGTTTTGAATGGTGTATTGTCATTAGTTTTCTCCCTTCCGTCTGAGAATTCATAAATGTTATCTTTCCTGGTTTGAGAAGCCTACTAAGTCGTTGGTTGTTAGTAAAACCTTGTTATTTTGAAGCCAGCAACAGATTGGTAGTCTGTTTAAAGAAGTGTTGATTTCTGTTCACTTGCCAGCACACCAGAATTAATGTTGATTGGATTTGGTGTTCTTACTCTTCTTTCCAATACCGATGTCTTTTTAAGTTAGCACTGTGCCGGCAGATAGGAGCCATTAGTTACGTAAGCCATTCCCAGCAGCGCTGGACCCCGCTTTTGCTCCGTTCCCACCGCCTTAAGAAGTGCTTTTCAACCGCAGCAGTTGGCCAGGAGCCGTTCCAGCCAAATTACTACTTCGAGCATTTGTTTTGGGGACACAACGGGCTTCCATTCTGGTTTCAGGGGACTACAGCCGCTTCCTGTACCTGTGTAGGAAAGGAACACTGTGCACCTTGCCCCCCACCCCCACCCACCATCCCTACCTAGCCTGAAAAGACAGGTGAAAGGCCAGTACAGTCCTTCAGGGACTGGGTGCTCCTTAGCTTTTTGAGTCTTTACCACAACGCTAGATGTGGTGTAATCTGGCATTTTTCACACAGTTGCTTTTGTAATTCAAGACACCAAGTACTTTTGTTTTAAGCAGTGATTTAAAAAAATAATATTTCAAATATTTGGAACCAAAAGGAGAGGAATTGTTAGAAGATAACGAAGTTTCACAGTTGCTGTATAATCTGGGGAAAGTAATTAGTATTTTAGAAATGAGGTAAGAATCTAAAAGATGAGATTGCTGTGAGTAATGGGAGACTGGAATGGTTTGCTCAGACTGTAAATGATGGAGAAGTGTATGGAAAGAAATGTGAGTAAATAAAAATACAAAAATTCCTGCCGTGAAAGGATGAAGTACTGTCTCAGGTTAAGGAGTTTCTAGCAATGCCTCTCCAACTGTGGTAGCAATTTACAGCAGTGCTTCTTAAAGTGCTTTTTAAAGGCTGCTAGGGCTGAGATAAACCAAGTTTTAGAAACTTGTGTAGCAATTTGGCAGAGTAATTTTATGTCTATTGATAACATTTAGGATTTTATTTTGTATGCAATTTTTTTCCTAGAAAGTTTCAATTATGTCTTAAGAATCGTTAGTCCACAGTGAATAGAAATGAGAAACCCCAAAACAATAGCTGGTCCTTTACTTAAGAAAACTTAAGTTCTTTGGGAAAGAGGGTCTTGTTGGCCTACACTGCTACTTAGCACCTGGTTTATTACCTCATGGGTACAGAATAAATGAATTGCATGTAATCAAAGTATTAGGAACTCAGCTTCATGGGAATCTGTTAGACACAGAACTTGTTTATTTTCTCAAGTAAAAATCGCACCTCTGGTATTATTATGATGGGAAGAATTTATAACAGAAATCCAAAACCTCTTAGTATTAAGATTTGATTGATTTTGATGAATAGATAGCATGAAAGAGAGAGAGAGAGAGAGAGAGAGAGAGAGAGAGAGAGAGAGAGAGAGAGAGAGAAAAGGAAAAACTGAAGAGATCACCTTTTAGAGACGAGAGCAAAATAAACTGTGTTGGTCTTTCAGTTTAAACTGACATCCTAAATCCTTATATTCAGAGGTAGTACTAGGCTTCTGAGAAGACTTCATTTTTATTCCTTGTGACATACATTTTTTTACCAGCAGAGATACATTTTTAACCTTTTTCTATAATTTGCATTTTCAAAAAAGACATATTTCTATGGACTCTTAAATATTGGTATTATATTGTAGAATGCTATTCAGAAATCACACATGGGAATGATATTTTTAGATTTTAAAACTGGAGAAATTTATCATGTTCTCCACTGGAACATCATGCCATTGAGAGAAACCATGAAAGATAACATCTCAGAAGAACAAGACAGAAAGGCTACTCCAGGAAAACAGTGGAATCTTCAATTCCATATACTCTCTGTATGTTCTTGAAAAAATCTAGTTTGTTGTCTTTTGTGTTTAATCAACAAAACAAGTTTTCTTCCTAACATTGATTATATTCTTGATTGAATTTTGGGTTGGTTTTCCTTCGGTAGAGGAGCAGGTTTCACGGCTGTGACATGTTTGGAGGTGGTGAGCTGTCTGGGCTCGTGGAGTGCCTGGAAGTGACCCTGAGTCAGTACTTCAGACTTGAAGTTCAGACTGGAAGCAATGATACCCCGTTTTATGGAGTGAGGAAATGTTTGTTGTGAAGTCGTTAGTAGTCTGTGGCCATGAAAGCTGTACGTAAAAGAGAAATATTATTTGATATAAGAGAATAGGTTTTGTTAAATCTGCTTCTGATGAGCTCACTGGAGAGTAAGAGATTCTTTTCTCTTATTCCCCATCCTCATGCTACCCACCATTGTTGCTCTTTTCTCAGAGTTCCTTTTTTCTCTTTATTTTGGCCTTTTCTTACATGTTAAAAGACTGTCCTTACATGGTGATCTTTGCTTGGCTGTTCATTTGTTCAGATCCATGTCTTACCTGACTCAGCTGTATCTGGTATTTGCAAGAAAAGAACTCTGGTTCAAGCCTTCCAGCGAGTAAACCTCTTATCCTCTCTACTCTACTAGGAGGGGCAGTTACCTGGCTGGAGCAGGGAATTGGGGATCCTTATAAGGACTTTGAACCAAGGCTGTGTTCAGCCCCAACTAGCATCCCAGCTTTTGGAGATACCTCTAAATTTCAGGGCTCTATCCTAGAATCTCTGCCAGGGGCTGGGCAGAGAAGTGGTATAAGCTGAGCAGAGAGAGAGAGGTATCAGTTTTCTCCTCTACATTTACCCACATAAACCCACCCACCCACTCACTGTTCATATTAAAAACATTTGTTTTTAATAAAGCTGGGCTGAGCCTGTTTACTCTCTGTTCCTTGTTTTCTGGATAAATCTTTTTATACAGTAAAACTGACTTTTTTAATGAATATGTTCTGTGAATTTTAGCACACGTATAGGACTAATCCCTCAAACTCCTTTGTGCTCTTTGTCATCATACACTCCTCCGACTCCTAACCCTGATCACCGCTGATCTACTTCCCAGACCTATATATAGTTTTATCTCTTTGAGAATATCGTATAAGCAGAATAATACATTAAGTAGCTTTTGGAGACTATTGATACTATGTGTGTCAATGTCCTTTTTATTTTTTGAGTGCTAATCCATTGTATGGATGTACCCCATCCATTCACCTGTTGGAATAGTTTTGGGTGTTTACAGTTTCTAGATTTTAATGTGAATGTAAGTTCACTTCTCTACTGTAAATACCTAGAATTAGGATTGTTGGGTCATATGGTAAGTGAATGTTTAACTTCCATTGAAATTGCCAAACTTTCCCATAGTGGCTGTACTTTTTTGCCTTCCCATCAGTAATGTATGAGTTCCATTTGTTCATCACCAACATTTGATACTGTTAGTGCTTTTTATTTTATATGCATCCTTGTAGATGTGGTATGTCTTTGTGGTTTTTATTTGCATTTCTGTAATGGCTAATTATGTTGAATATTTCCATGTGCATATTTACTATCCAAGTCTTCTTTGGTGAAGTGCTTGTTCAAGTCTTTTGCTCATTTTTATATTGGGTTTGTTTTTTCACTATTTAGTTTGAGATTTCTTTATGTACTTTGGATAGAAGTCCTGGATTGGAAATGTGTTTTGCATGTATTTTCAATATTTTTACTTTGGCTTTTCATTTTGTTAGCAGTATGTGCAGGGCAAATGTTTTTAATTTTGATAAGTCCAATTTATTATTATTTTTTGTTTTATGAATCATACTACTTTTGCTGTCGTGTCTAAGAACTCCTCACCTAACCCCAAGTCACAAAGATTGTCTTCTGGGTTTTCTTCTAAACATTTTGGTTTTATGTTTTACATTTAGATCTGTGATCCATTTTGAATTACTTTTTGTGTAAAATACGAGTTTTAGATTGAGTTTACTTTTTTGCATGTGGATATTTTCAACTCTGTTGAAAAAGCTACCTTTTCTCCACTGAATTGCCTTGTACATTTGTCAAAAATCAATTAGTCGTATTTGTGTGGGACTATCTCTGGACTGCATTCTCTTCCATAGATCTGTTTTTCTATTTTTATGCTGCTAGTACACTATTTTGATTATTGTAGCTTTATAGCAAGTTTTGAAATTGGGTAGTGTGATTCCTCCAATTTAATTATTTTTCAACATGGTCCATACTCCTTCTTTTGCCTTTCCATATAAATTTTAGAATCATCATGTCTCTATCTAGAAAAAAATCCTTCTGGGATTTTGGTATACCGTTGTGGGTGGCATGTCTTTTAGCACTTGAAAAATGTTGAGCCACTCCCTCCCCACCTTTATGATTCTGATGAGAAAACCACAGTCATTCAAATCATTGTCCTGTGTATGTAATGTGTCTGACTGCTTCCAACTTTTTTTGTTTTTGCTTTTCAGGATTTTAATTATGTTAGATCTGGATGTGTGATGCTTTGGCTTTATACTGCTAGGAGTTTTCTAAGCTTCTTGAAATACATAGAATTTAAATCTTTCACTGAACTTGGGAAGTTTTAGCACTGTTAGCACTGTTACTTCTCTGAAGTAATTTTTTTTCTGCAGTTAATTCTTCTCTTATTTGGGGACTGGTGACACAAAATTAGACCTTTTGCTCCTGTTCCACAGATGCCCGAGGGTTTGTTCATTTTTTCTCAATGTTTTTTCCTTTCTGTTGTTCAGATTAGATCACTTCTGTTGATCTGTCTTCAAGTGTATTGACTTTATTCTGATATCTCCATTCTGTTTCTGAACCCCATCCAGTATATTTTTTATTTTAATTATTAACATTTTTCTTTTAATGGATTCTTTTCAAGCTTTATTAGGTATGATTAACAGATAAAAGTTGTATATATTTAAGGTGAAAAAACATGATGTTTTGGTATATACACACACACATATATACACACACACACACTGTGAAATGATTACCATAATCAAGCTAATTAACATAACCATTGTCTCATGTGGTTACCATTTGTTGTGTGTGTGTTGAGAACATTTAACACTCTCTTAGCTAATTTCAAGTGTGCAACATGTATTATTAACTACAGTCACCATGCTGTATATTAGGTCTCCAGAACTTACTCATCTTGCAACCAAAAGTTTTTATCCTTTGACCCCTAATTATTATATTTTCCAATTCTAAAATTTTCATTTTGTTTTTCTTTATGTCTCCTATTTGCTGAGGCTTTCTGTCTTTCCATTTGTTTCAAAAGAATTTGCCTTTATTTCTAGGAGTATTTTTCTAATACTGGCTTTAAAGTCTTTATCAGACATGTGTGTCATCTTGGCGTTGGTATTTATTGATTATATTTTCCCATGTTGAGATTTTCTCTGTTCTTCTTACAGTTTATAATTTTCGATTGTATCCTGGACATTTTTAAATATTATGTTATAAGACACCAGGTCTTGTATAAATCCTATGATGAATGTTGATATTTTTCTTTCATCAGGTATTCCACCAGCAGGCTACAAATTCTACCAGCCTTCTGTGGACCTTGGTTTCAATATTTATTCTGTTTTCAAAATCTTGGCAGTACTATTTGGATCTGCCCTGTGTGTGCGCCACCCGGTTGGTCAGTCTGGACCTCAGCAGTGGTCCATCTCTTGGTTCTGTTCTTAACATCTTTGCTGTGCTGTTCAGGGTGCATTGATGCACATGCAGCTTTTAGGCGAGCCTAGGAATTCACGCACAACTTCATGGAGTAGCTTTCCCAAGCTCCTCCCTCTCTGAGATTTTCCTGATATTTTTGAGTCCCCAGAGCCTCCCCTTTGGGGTCCTCTTGCCAGGAAGCTGGGGCTTTCATTACCCCCATTCTGTTGGGTACTTTGCCCGAATCTGAGGCAAGGGAGGCATCAGGAGCACAGGGAGACAGAAAACCCGTGGGGTTCATCTTACCCTTTGGGGCCCGCAGCTCCTCTGATTGGAGAGAAGTTTTATCGCCCTCAGCCTTTTAGGTGCCTGTAGTTACTGCTACGGCCACCTCTATGGGACAGCTGGGGACACAAGCACGGAGGCGGGGTTGGGGGTGAATAAGAAGTATGGGGGACTTCTCCCATTCCCTCGGAATGTTAGCCAAAGTAACAGAGCTTTTCCTGGAGTTTCCACTGCACCCTGGAACCCACTTCCGGTTTTCAGGCTGCGTTGATTCCAGGCCAGGGAATACCAGAAGAAAAAGGAGACACAACTGGTTCAGTGGTACTCATCTTCTTATCTTCTTCTCCAATCTGCCTGCTACCATATACTTAGAATCCACAGGCAGCTGCATGCCTTCTGTCCAGATTGTATAGCTGCATTCCGTGGGTGGTACACAGAGTGTGCTTACCCTGTCAGTCTCAGCCAGAACTTGATACTTTGTTAATTTTTATTTATTTTAAAGTCTGACTTTTTCTTATTACAAAAATAACATGCTTTCATTGGAGAAAACTTGGAAAATAAAGCTAAAGCTAAAATCCTCTGAAGACTCATGAACTAAAGGCAGTGACTACTTTTATTTCATATATGTGTTCTTTCCATTTTGATAGTAAAAATGAATTAGATAAATAAAAGATATTATTCTTAGATAGATTAATAAAATCATGTTGTTAATTATTTTAACCAGTAGTCTAAAGACCTGGATACTATTGACTTGGTCTCATGTTTTTACTAAATCTTCTCTTTTCCTAAATAGGTAGAAAGTCTTTATCCTCAAAATGGCTGGGTTGAAATTGATCCTGATGTTCTCTGGTGCCAGTTTGTTACTGTAATAAAAGATTCTGTCCAAGGTAATTGGATTTATAAAAATAAAAACAGTAAAGGATATTTTGTTTGTAGTTAAGAGTTTTCCTTAGGTGTCTGTAGGATTCTGTGGGCTTCCTAAATCATATTTATATGCATGGTCTTTTGTTGGGATCACAGTTTTCCCAGTATTTTACAGTGAACCACTTTCAAGAAAAGGTGACAGCAGCTCTGTCTTCTGGTTTAAGTCACCTTCACCTGCCTCGGAAAGGCTCCCCTCCGTCCAGTTGTAACTCGTGCCGAGTCATTTCCTGTTGTGTACAGAATAGGGAGAGTTATTAACAAAGTCACCACACACACTTCCCACTCTCAGGAATTTACAGCTGAGTTACCTTTATTGTAAAGTAAGTTTTTGTTTTGTCTTTGTCCTGTGTGGCTTCTTGATGCACTCCCAGTGACAGCCGCAGTCTGAAATCTTAGCTCTTGAAGAATGTTTTCAATGCAGCCTTCCTTAAAAATGTGGCGAAAGATGACATGTAAATGTAAATTCTAAAATGTCTTTTACTTCATTTATCTGACAGAGTTGCTATCTCCTTCTTGCCTTTTTGGTTTGAAAAATTTCAAAACCTATAAAAAAGAAAATATTTTAGCATTGTCAAGAAGAAAATATACTCTGACTGACTTTGAGTAGTGTTTTTTCCCCTACATTTAAAGCGAAAAGGCCATATTATTAGAATATGTCTTTTTAATTTTAAATAAAAATACTATAAAATCATCTTAGTAATGCTTTCTTTATTAACTCCAATTACGTTATTAAAATGCTAAACCCAGATACTGTTCTTAAAGATTATATTGAATGAATCATTTTCTGTACTGTAATACTGTAAAGAAAAATTCATTGGCTTTTAAACATGTGTTTTACCTGTCTTTATTTTTAGCTGCAGGAGTAGAGATGAATCAAATCGTTGGTCTTGGCATTTCAACACAGCGGGCAACCTTTATTACATGGAACAAGTAAGTGCATTGCGTGATAAGCATTCTCTTGCTCAGTTCATACCACAGTGAATACAGTACTGTGAAACCTACTTGGGGAGTTTGAAACTTGTGAATTCAGAGCAGTTTTGCTTGGTTAAGAGGGATAAATGTGGGCCCCCTTTCTGGGTTACTAAACTATGCACCTTATGGGTCATCTGGACTTCACTTATATAAAATAAGGACAATAAAAAGACTATTGCCTAGGAAGAATTAATATTGTCAAAATGGCCATCATGCCTAAAGCAGTCTACAGGTTCAATGCAATCCCTATTCAAAATATCAACAGCATTCTTCAACGAACTGGAACAAATAGTTCTAAAATTCATATGGAACCACAAAAGACCCTGAGTAGCCAAAGCAATCCTGAGAAGGAAGAATAAAGTGGGGGGGGGATCTCGCTCCCCAACTTCAAGCTCTACTACAAAGCCACAGTAATCAAGACAATCTGGTAATGGCACAAGAACAGACCCACAGACCAGTGGAACAGAATAGAGTCTCCAGACATTAACCCAAACATATATGGTCAATTAATATATGATAAAGGAGCCATGGACATACAATGGGGAAATGACAACCTCTTCAACAGCTGGTGTTGGCAAAACTGGACAGCAACCTGTAAGAGAATGAAACTGGATCATTGTCTAACCCCATACACAAAAGTAAATTCGAAATGGATCAAAGACCTGAATGTAAGTCATGAAACCATAAAACTCTTATAAAAAAAACAGTCAAAAATCTCTTGGACATAAACAATGGCAACTTCTTCATGAACATATCTCCCTGGGCAAAGGAAACAAAAGCAAAAATGAACAAGTGAGACTATATCAAACTGAAAAGCTTCTGTACAGCAAAGGACACCACCAACAGAACAAAAAGGCATCCTACAGTATGGGAGAATATGTTCATAAATGACAGATCCAATAAAGGGTTGATATCCAAAATATATAAAGAGCTCACGCACCTCAACAAACAAAAAGCAAATAATCCAATTAGAAAATGGGCAGAGGAGCTGAATAGACAGTTCTCTAAGGAAGAAATTCAGATGGCCAACAGACACATGAAAAGATGCTCCACATCGCTAGTCATCAGAGAAATGCACATTAAAACCACAGTGAGATATCACCTCACCCCAGTAAGGATCGCCACCATCCAAAAGACAAACAACAACAAATGTCGGCGAGGTTGTGGAGAAAGGGCAACCCTCCTACAATGCTGGTGGGAATGTAAATTAACCATTGTGGAAAGCAGTATGGAGGTTCCTCAAAAAACTAAAAATAGAAATACCATTTGACCCAGGAATTCCACTTCTAGGAATTTACCCTAAGAATAGAGCAGCCCAATTTGAAAAAGACATATGCACCCCTATGTTTATCGCAGCACTATTCACAATAGCCAACAAATGGAAGCAACCTAAGTGTCCATCAGTAGATGAATGGATAAAGATGTGGTACATATACACAATGGAATACTATTCACCATAAGAAAACAAATCCTACCATTTGCAACAACATGGATGGAGCTAGAGGGTATTATGCTCACTGAAATAAGCCAGGCGGAGAAAGACAAGTACCAAATGATTTCACTCATCTGGAGTATAAGAACAGAGAAAAAACTGAAGGAGCAAAGCAGCAGCAGAATCACAGGCCCCAAGAATGGACTAACAGTTACCAAAGGGAAAGGGACTGGGAAGCATGGGTGGAAAGGAAGGGATAAGGGCAGGGAAAAAAGAAAGGGGGCATTATGATTAGTATGTATAATGTGTGGGGGCACAGGGCAGGCTGTGCAACACAGAGAAGACAAGTAGTGATTTTACAGCATCTTACTATGCTGATGGACAGTGACTGTAATGGGCTTTGTTGGGGGGACTTGGTAATGGGGAGAGTCTAGTAAACATAATGTTCCTCATGTAATTGTAGATTAATGATACCAAATAAAAAAGACTATTGCTGTCATTAAAATTCTCTACTCTTCGTGAGTTAGTTTTTCAGAAAAGCATGGGTTGAAGATCAAAAAATTAGCTTATGTCTAGAAGAATTCAAGGGAATAACAAATTTCAGAAACAAGGCTATAATTATTGTTTATATTTTCAGTCTACAACAAATTTAATATTTAAATATTAAATATGTATATTTTTAATTTCAGCTATGGCATAGGTGCTATACATAGATTAAATACAATTATAATATCATAATGGCTACCTTTTAGTGATACTTCATGTTCCATTATCCTTACAAACAAACCTATTATTTAGGTATTATGTCAATTTTTACAAAGAAGGAAACTGAGGCTCAGAGAAATAAGTAAGTTGTTCAGGTCATGCAATTTATAAATAGAACCAAGATTCCAAATTATCTTTTTGACCTAAAAGCATATGCTCTTTCCACTACCCCCATATTGTTTTTAACACGTGTTTCTTGCTTTAAAAACAAAGAAAGAACACTAAAATGTTTCTCTGTTACAGAGTACTAGATTTCAAAAGGGCATCTTGACCATTAAGCAGTGAAAAAGGAAAGTGGTGGACATAGCGGGTAGTGATAAGCCTAAGATATATAGTCAGGGTGAATTCACAAAGACTTGGCCAATATAATTCAGTACAATTGACCCTTGAACAACATGGCTTTGAACTGAACAGGTCCACTTACAGGTGGGTTTCTTCAGTACATACAGTACAGTACTGTAAATGTGTTTTTCTTATGATTTTTTTTAATAACATTATTTGTAATTTCATTTTAAGAATACAGTATATAATACATGTCATATAAAATATTTGTTAATTGTTTATGTTATCGGCAAGGCTTCTTGTCAGCAGTAGGTTTTTAGTAGTTAAGTTTTTGGGAAGTCAAAACTTACATGTGGATTTTTGACTTGTTGGGTGGGGATTGATACCTCTAACCCCCACGTTGGTGAGGGTCAGCTGTATTAGGCAGGAGGAAGAAGTTTGAAGTTACCAATATTTCTGGCCTTGATGTTTGAGAGGCTAAGATATAAATTACAGAGCATATAAGAGGAGGAGCAAGTTGGGTAGTGATGAGGGTGGGTAGAAGGGAAGGGGGTAGTGTTTGGTTGGGACATGTGAATGTGGAGATATCCCAGACATGATCGAGCACTGGTCTGGTTTAGACTGAGCAGGCTGATTTCCTCCAATAGGTACCCGTTCCCTCAGGGCAGAGTGCATCTCAGGCTGATGTGGCATCTGCAGTCGGCCTGCACCTCCCCCAACGCCCCACCTGGTGCCTCGGGCACAGCAAGTCTTCAGTAGGAAGTACATTTGTCAGAGGAAGGAATAAATGAATGAAAATCATCTGTGTAGATCAGGGTTTCTAAACAGTGGTTCTGTTAACATTTTGGGCCACATAATTCTTTGCTGTTAGGGGTTGTCCTGGGATTGTGGGAGGTTTAGCAGCATCCCTGGCCTCTGCCTGCTAGATGTCTGGAGCACCCACTTCCCTTGGTTTTTTAAAATTAAGGTATAGTTGATATACCCACTGCCCCAGTTTTGACAACCAAGGAAGTCCCCAGAGATTGTCAAATGTCCCTTGGGTGGTGGCAGAATCTTTCCCAGTTGAGAACCATTGATGTAGGCGACGTCTGGATGAGTAGGTGTGTTCTCTGCTAGAGATGCTATGGCTAGAAGAGAAGATGAGTGATGATTTAGACAATGAGTTTTTCCCTCCAAATGTAAAAGGTGTCAGAGAGCAAAACCTGGCAGAAGAGGACCAAGGTAATCTGGGTAGTGGATGGCGCGGAAATGGAGGCAGAAGCATGTTCCTAGGGAAACAACTGATTGGAAGTGTCACCTTTGGTTGGATGTGGAGATCAGGCCATTGGCCGCAGAGATTGCTTTCATCAGAGCGTGGATAGCAGGCCAGTCGTGACGGCAAGGCTGTATTAGGGAGCAAAGCTTCGTGTAGCAGCAGGACCATGCCTTTTGCTTAGGAGAAGAAGGGTCAGATTCCAAGACAGTTCGCTTCCCTTACTGTTAGTGGAGAAGGCTGATTTCTTCTTAGAAGTCATTGTGGGTTTTCTTCTGGACTGCCTGTTGAGATGTCTGTTATTTCATGAGTTTTGAAAAGTTTGCTCATAGGAACTGAAATACTGGATATTAAAAAAAAAATACACACAAATCTTCATGCTTGTTTTACCTTAAAATAATGGAGCCTGATTCTGCCCCCTGGGCCACTGCGAGCACCGTGTCTTATGACGCTGGCAGGTTATGCCATGCCCCAGCAGCCCCGATACAGCAGAGGAGGGGGCACCTCTCTGAGCCCTCAGGAAGTACTTCTCATTCATTTTTGAGAAAGACAGGACCCTGTGGAACAACCTATGTTTATTCCAGTCCCAGCCAGCACCCTCTCTTCCCAGCTCACTGTTTTTATTTATCCTGCATCCGTGGTGCATTTCTTTCATCATGGCTATAGACACACTAGTTTCCTTATAGTCGCTCTCAGGAGCTCTGAAATTTTCAACTTTCTTCTTGTTTTCTTCTCCCTCTCCCCTTTCAGATGCCAAGAGACTTGGGTTTCTATTAACTTTTTCCAGTCCTTGAGTTTTCTTCATATTCTTAAGGTTAAAAATTTTTTCCATATATTTAATCAGTGGTGTGGTTAGCCTGTATTGTAAGTAACTCTAAATGACATCTCCATTTGGGTTGTTTTAAATTCCTTTTGTTCTAAAAAAAAATTGTGAGCTGTTTTGTTTCTTCAGTCACTGCGTCTCTCAGGGAGGCTTCCGCCAACTAGCCTCAGATCAGGATGTGTGCCAGTTATTAACATAAACTGTAGTCAGGCAAACCTGGATTCGCTCAAGGAGGAAGAGAGTGTGCCGGTTGCTGAACTAAATATGAAGATGAATAAGAATACCAGCCCTCAAGGAATTTACAGTCTCATAATACAAGCATATAAATTACTCTGTGTTCCCACAGTGCCAAATATATCTTTTATTGTACTACTTGATGCTTGTGTTATTGTACTTGATGCTTGTGTTATTGATCCTCACCAATTAGTTAGGACACAAAATAAATCACGAACCACTATGTGTTAGAGAGGTTTAGGGCCAATTCAGTTACAATGTTGCCATTCATGTTTTTCCTCCATTTCTCCTTTCACTGATGACAGGGATAGAGTACAACTAAAATACTGCTAAGTGAATATTGGAATATATGCTACCACTTGAGATAAGTCTTTAGATCACCTTCTACTGTGTTATGAATGAATGATGCCACTTGTGTCTTGTGATCTCCTCTCTGGCTTTGTTCTTCACTACGCTAGCCTTTAACCCACCCTGCTTCATCCTGCCATAGGGCCCCTCGTTGGGAACGTTCACCCTGCTTGTTCGTGCCCACTCATCTTTCAGAGCGCAGTTCCATTATCACTTCTTAAAGAAGCTTTCCTGATCCCTAGGCTAGGCAGGGTCAGCCTGTTAAATATAATCACAGCATCTGTATTTCTCCTTAACAGGACTTAACTCCTGTTGTAAGTAAGCAATTAAGTGATTATTTGTTTGACTTCCTGGTAGAAAATATATTTGTAGGGCAAAGAAGCCATGTCTGTCTGTTCAAAGCTATATCACCAACTCCGCACAAATTGCTGTATAAATGGTTGCTCAATCAATGATTAAAAATTATATTTAAGTGTATAAGTAGATGTTATTGTGGAATGGCTCCAAAGAATCTTGTAGCAATATATATCAATATATATCAATATAAATCATTTCAGTCAAACATAATATGATAGTCTTCATTGGTAGAGCAACATTTATTCATTTAGCAAATACCCCTTTGGTATCTGGGCTAGGTCGTAAGCATCTGAAAGTGAAAAATTGTGTGCCCTCATGAGGCTCACAGACTAGTGGTAGATACAGATGTGTGCATAGAGGTAGGGTGCAGCCTGATAGACATCTGCCCTGTAGAACTGCTTTCTCTCTGGTAATGAAGGAGCTGGAGGGGGGGAGTAGCCTAGAAGGGGGAGTTAGGGGAGCATTCACAGAGTCCCTTGAGCCCTGTCTTGAAGCATAAATAGTTGTTTCCTAAGTGGGAAGAGCAAATCACCGGCAAAGGCAGGAGGAGCAGGAATCTGGTGATCCAAAGCATCAAAGCCACTTTGGAATCCAGGAGGTGAAAGGGAAGGTGCCACACCCAAGTGTTCTGACTCCTTCCAGACTCTCACCTCGTCTGTAACCACCCTCCTCCTGCCCTGTGCTTCAGCGGTACTGGCCTGCTCTCTGCTTCTGGAGCACCTTCCCCCCACCCCCGCCACTGGTTCCTACCTTTGGAAGTAGCAGCTTTTCACCTATTGGCCCCTGTGCTTGGAGTTCTCTTACCTGAGATCTTAAATCTTTCTCATCATTCAGACCTCATCTCAAAGCTCGCTTCTAAGAGACTTTCTCTGACCATTTTATATACCCATCTCCTTATTATTTTATTTTCTTTATATCACTCATCATTATCTAACATTTTTATTTACTTGTTTACACCTCTCCCATAGGAGGAGTACCATGAGTGATGGGGTTTTTGTGTGTGCTGTTCTTGCCAAGTCCTTCACGCTGATAACAGAACAGAGGCTGGCACATAGTAGGTATGCAAATCCTTGAGTGATTGAGATTACCTGGAGAGGAAGGCAGAGTCCCAGGCCAGGAAAGGCCATTGCTATGGTAAAGAGTTTGCCTCTTACAAGCAGTGGGAAACTACCAAAAACTGTTAATCAGGAAAGTAATAAGACCAAACGGACATTTTAGAAAGAATATTCCTGAAGCGAAGTGAACAGTGGATTTGAGAGGAATGAGACTAAGACTGGAAAGTCCCTTTGACGGCTGTGGCTTATTCAGGTCTCTGACCTCTTATCTAAAAAGAACCCCTGTTGCCCTCCAGTTATTCTGTTCATTCACCATGCCGTTACTCCCACAGTGTAGTCATTATATGAAATTATATTTTTTACTTATTTGTTTTTCAACCCCCGCCCCTCACTGCCCTGCCTGCCCTGTAGTGTAAAAGCACCAGGAATGTTAAGGAATCCCTTTGAGAACTTGGGATGACCCTGCTCCTGCCGAGCTTTTGGTGGTTGCAGGGGAAAGACACCATTAGCTCAGGAGCTGGAGGAAGAAGGCAGCAGGTTTTGGGTGGATGTGCTGCATTTGGGATGGCAGGGACTGTCCTGGGAGATACAAGGAAGGCAGCTACTTGTGAGGGCCTGGAACTTAGGTGAGAGGTGGGCCCTAGAGATGCAGAACGGTGAGGGATCATGGGGAGTGTGGGTTGGATTTCTCAGAGAGAGCAGCTAGTTAAAAAGAGAAGGGGCCGAGGATGCAACACTGAACAAACTGGCATTTAACTGGCAGTTGAAGAAAATCTGCAAAGGAAATCAAGAAGATGTACTTAGGTTGGAGGAGAACCAGTACAGTGATACCACGGAAGCTTAGGGAAGTGAACTGACAGTTCAAGGAAGTGATCATCTGGAGCCACTACTGCAGAAAGGTCAAGTCAAATTGAAAAGGATCTTGTCAATGTGGGAGTGAGAAAGACATTGGTGACCATAGTGAATGCATTTTCATGAATGATTGTGAATCTGAGTTGCATTTGAATTGCATTTGGTTGAGGTCATGGGAGATGGGGAGGAAACATGGAGGTGCTTACCTGGTGGGGGGTGTCCTGGGCCAAGAGAAATGTTGTTGGGTCTGCTTCGAAGACGGAGAGATTTAAGCATGTTGAGAGAAGAGAATGGAAGGAATATGCGATGAAGAGAAGCGATGGAAGACAGGAAGGCACAGACAGTGCACAGGTGGAGGTGCTGACCTGAGACTCGGAGAGGGAGAGCTTTTCCTCTCACCCGACAGAGACCACGACGGCGGTCGGCACAGCCGGCCAAGGAGTGGGGAGTTAAGGAAGTACATCCCTGTGTTCTGACTTCTTTAAGAAATAGGAGGCCATTGACAGCCTTGGGCTTGAGAAATCAGGTGAAAATTTAGATGTGCTATTTGCGGGGAGTGGAGAGTAAATTAATAATGAAGGACGAGAGAAAGACTTTTATCATTCTAGGTGACTCTGAATGCCTAGACAAGGTTGTATTCTGCCAGTATAGGTTGGTATTCACAAGGCTATGTGACTTTTCTCTAGCCCCTCTCAATGGTTCTGGCCTTGAAAGTGGACACAGAAGACAGTTGGATCGATCCCCGGTTAGGAGTTGCAAAGGTAGATAATTACTTTGAAAGTCAAGGGGTAAAGTGACATCATTCAAAACTGGAGTAGGAAGCTGTAGTGGTTGGTCCCACCACCAAAGCAACTATTGAGTTGAAAAGAGAGATCGGAATAAACTATTGAGGAGCCCTAGAACCTGACTGGTCCTTAGAACAACTGGGGGAGTGCTAGATGAGGGTGGAGGCTGCAGCTTTTAGGTGAGGGAGCGCAAACCAGCTACCGTCCTCCATTCCTCAGCCCGGCTGCGTGTGTGGGGAAAGCCCACAGACCCGGAGCGAGTAGCTGGTGGCAAGACAGGAAGTGGGGACATTGTCCTACAACAAAACATGGGCTTACCTGCTTTGGTTGATTGGGGTGCCCTCACTGACTGATGCACAGATGCTTACTGACACACAGTTCCGGCCCTCTTGGTGCATAGGCTCTTAAGCAGCATCTGTTGGAAGACTTAAAGGGCCTGTCCCTTTCTGGGTTTAGTTTTTTTTGGAGCCAGACATTTGAGGAAATATCAGCTCACTAAGCTGACACAGAGGCAACAGAAGTTTCAGGAACTTCAGTGACCACACACAAAAATGAATACACACTTTGCAAAAATAGCTTGTGGAAGTCGCCAACTGACACCTGCAGCCCTCAATAAGGAAAAATCAGCAATCTCTGAGGAGTGGGAAAATCAAATTTCTAGAGTTACCACTTTTTTTTTCAAAATGATACAAGTTTTAAACATCTCACTGACTCAATCATGACTTACGAAAGTTTGATGAATTAAACAAATTGTACATTAAGGTATAAAACTGCACATTATAAATAGTGTAATTTTACATGAAACTGTTCAAAGCTCATGACTTTTCCTTACAGCCACTTTCAACTTAATTCAATTCCCTTACTCTGTTTTTCCTGTAAACAGTACCTCTCAGTATTCAGCCTCATGAATTATTAAAGCAAGGAGCATTTTTATATATTAAACTAACAAAAAGAAAAATCAGTGTGGGGGAAATGATGCCAGAAGTGTTCCACTCAGGCATTGCTGTCATATTCTGTAAGATACGTATGTTTGTTTTCATATAAAATTAATGTCTACACAGTGATCAAGTAAAATTAATGCTCCAGACAGCCTCCCCCCCACCTTATGGTAGGGGGAGCCTAGCTGAGGGGCATTTAACTGCGGCATTAGAGGGATTAAAATAATCGCTATGCAGTATTGACTATAACACCACATCTGCAGGTTTGGCTACATTTGAGGAGCTGGAAAATTGTATTATGCTTTGACTCAGTCACCTCACACTTAATAGTGAGGGAGATTTGGGGGAAATAACCTACCAGAAGCCACAGCAATACCTCAAAATATGACCATTGGAAATAGGGTCATTGCAGATGTAATTAGTTGAGTTAGGATGAGATTATAGGTATAGAGTGAACTTCTAATCTGATATGACCAGTGTCCTCATACCAAGACAGCCAGGTGACGCCTGAGCGTGCCTTGTGAAAGAGAATTGGAGTGATGTGATGCACCTGTATGCCAAGGAACGCCAAAGTTTGCTGCAAACCACCAAAAGGTAGGAAGAGGCAAGGAAGAATTTCTTCACAGGTTTCAGAGGGAGTGTGGCTCTGCCAACACCACGGTATTAGCCTGCTAGCCTCCAGAACCGAGACAGTAAATTGCTTTGTTTTAAGTCACTCAGTTTGTGATACTTTATTATGGCAGCCCTCAGAAACTAAAATGGTAAACTGGTTTTCAGAAAGGGTGCCATGTCCACGCAATGGGAAAGGAACAGTTTTTTCAACAAATGATGCTGAGAAAACTGAATATTAGTGTGCATAAGAATGGAGTTGCACCCTTACCTTACTCTAGACACAAAAATCAACCTAAAAAATGGATCAAAGACTAAATGTAAAATATAAAACTCTAAAGTTCTTAGGAAAAAACAAGAGGAAAATTTTTTTCATGACTGTGGATTCCTTAAATGATTTAGGAATTATTTCTTAAAGCATAGCTAACAAAAGAGAAAACAGGTAAGTAGGACTTACTGGAAACTAAAAACTTTAGTGCGTCAAAGTATACTATTAAGATACTGTCGTCTATTCATGATGACTAATTTTTTACTATTAAACCTCTCCAAAGTGGAAAAATTGCCTTAAATTTAACCATACATAGTAATAAATAAAGGCATGTTGAAATTATGTTGATATAATGTGAAATTTCCAGTTTTTAAATGTGTCTGAAAAATTTATGGTCATTGACATCTTAAATCTGCAGTTAAAGTTCTCAAAACCAACTGTAGCATGTCATATGGAAAGTGTGTGTTTTGGTATATTTGTTTTATAATTTCATCTCATCTAAGATTGAGGACTAAAACAACTGGAGAATCGCTTCTGTATTTGTAGTGATGATAATGTGCTAATGATCCAAAGTGACTGTCTGGATCGCTTAAGGAAAAGGAAGTGACATGCTCATGACATCGGTGAATGCTCTGATACCCATTAATAAAGGAAAGAACAAAAAAGGGACATTTATTAAGAGAGTGAACAGAAAATCACAGGGTGGGAGAGAACATTTGCAAATTGTATATTTGATAAAGAATTACCCAGAATATATAAAGAACTGCTACAACTCAACAACAAAAAAAGAACCCAATTCATAAATGGACAAAGGATTTGAATAATGCACAAATAGTCAAAAGGCACATGAAAAAATACTTAGTATCATTAGTCACTGGGGCAATATAAATGAAACCCACAATGAGATACCACTTCATACCCACCATGATGGCTATAATTAAAACAAGGGAAAATAACAAGTATTGGTGAGGATGTGTTAAAATAGAACTCTTGTGTACTGGTTGTGGGAATGTAAAGTGATGCAGGTGCTGTGGAAAACAGTCTGGCAGCTCCTCAAACACTAAACAACGAATTACCATGTGATGTGATAACTAATCCTAGGTGCATACCCAGAGGAATTGAAAACAGACTGGAACAGATAGGCATGCCACAGTGCTATAACACTGTTACAGCAGCGTTTTCATAGTAGCAAGAAGGTAGAAAAACCCAAGTGTTTGGAAATAGTGTTGATGATTGTACAGCATTGCAGAGTATACTTAAAATCACTGAATTATACACTTTAATGTAGTTAAAATGGTAAATTTAATGTTGCATATAATTTACCACAATTAAACAAAATAAAGAATCAAGGGATAGAGACTGTGAAGGCAAGTTATTAAAGTAATAGGCTGTGGGATCCAGGAAAGTAAGTAAGCTTGGAGGGGTTGGTAGGAAGAAAAGGGAATGTTTGAGGATCGAAGGTTACAAGAATTTGAAGGGAAGGTGTTCAGGGAGTAATACCGAGAGAAGTGAAATAATAGCAAGATGCGTGAACTGATAGATGGGAACATTAGCATTTCAGTGGTAGAATGTGTCCAGGTAATACAATTGAGTATGTGGCCATGGGTGTGGGCCACTTAAGAAGAGTAGGAAAAGACAGTCTTGGGCATTGAACATGGTGAAATTCACACAGGAGAATGCCTGGGATAGGGCAGAAAGCAAGTCTGAGTTGCATGTTGAACATCAGCAGATGTCAGTGGTTGATTTGTAGGAGCCTCAACGGGAAAGGGATTTATTCCCACTGTATTTCTTAGTTTTGTATTTTTTTCATTCATTGTATGGACTCAATGTCTGGCGAATTTCTTTTTATTTATTCATTGAATTTTATTTATTTTATTTCCTGAATACATATTGGTAAGCCTGCTGCGTTGCCATTGGCTAAACCAGTCCTAAAGTAGAGAGGTGTAGAAATAGGCGTAGGCAGTATTTCAGCTCTTCTGTAAGTATAAAGGTTTTTATCTGATTGTGTATATCACCATACAAAGGGGGAAAGCATTGGCTTCTTTACCTTGCCTTTAAAAGTGTATAAGCCAGTCTTTAAAGACCTTTTCATTAGTATTGTTTTTGGAAGTGTTACACATTGTGGTGCTTCAAAAAGAGTATCTTTTTGGATAGAATCTGACCTAAAATTTCATATATATCACATTATAATTGTTACAAAGTGTGTTCCATTTATAAAATCAAGAAGTCTTTTGGAAAGCCCCGTCTAATGAAATCATACTTGGAAATTATAGTTTGGCCTCTAATTTTGTGTTCTATTGTGGCAGATCTTTTATATAATACAGTCTCTAATTTATGTTGAGTCTCAAACTACTGTTTCTATCATTCTTAGGAAAACGGGAAATCATTTTCACAACTTCATTAGTTGGCAAGACTTAAGAGCTATTGACCTTGTAAAATCTTGGAATAGTTCTCTTATAATGAAGGTAAACTTTTTCTTATCTTCTATATATATATATATTTCTGTTTTTCCTGTAAGTGTCCCTTAACTGTATTCTTAGTAGTATAATCTCCCACCTATGCTGCTTTAGGGCATGAAGAAGAGAATACACATAGGCACACTCCCCACACCAGTGAGACTTAATAATAGTCATGCAAAAGCATATGTGGTAGACTCCATTAACAGCCACATTTGAGGGTGTCCTCAGGAGGTTTGGGGTGGACCAGAGGTGTACATGTGAGTAAGAAATGCAAAAAATACAGACTATGTCCAAAAAAGTTACAGGAATATCCAAATGTAATCATCTTTTGTTATAAAAGTAGAGAATGGATGTAGAGGTACTTAGCTGATGGCCACAGATTTTCACATGATGCCTGGCACAGAGAGCAAGTGAGGATGGTGATGGTGGCAATCGTGACAGCAGCAGCATTTTGCCAAGTGTCAGGTGACTGAGTCAAAGCATAAGACAATTTTCCAGCTCCTCAAATGTGGCCAGACCTGCAGTATGTGGTGTTATAATCAACATTGCATAGAGGTTATTTGAATCCCTGTAATGCCACACAGTTAAACGTCCTCTCAGCTAGGCTTCCCCACTGCAAGGTGTGTGTGGGGGACGGAGGGGATGCCTACAGTAGCAGTTTTACCTGGTAAGCATTGATGTTCTCTGAAAACAAGCACAAAATCTGACAGCAATGCCTAAGTGGAACACTTTTTTCATCATTTCCCTCACACTGATTTTTCTTTTTGTTAGTTTAAAATGTAAAAATGCACCTTGTGTTAGTAACGCGTGAGGCTGAATACTGAGAGGTGTTGTTTACAGGAAACGCGGAGTGATTAAGGGAGTTGAAAGTGGTTGTGAGAAAAAGTCATGAGCTTTGAACAGCCTCATTTAAAGTTACACTATTTATAATGTGTAATTTTATACCTTAATGTATAATTTTAGTTTTTAAAAGATCAGTTCATCAAACGTTGTTCAAGTTGGTCAGTGAGATGTTTAAAACTTTTATTCCTTTGGAAATGCATTGTGACCATGAAAACATTTACTTCTGTTGCATAAGCCCCAAATTTCAAATCATGACGTAAAGCCAACTTCACACACGAAACTGAGCATTTAAAGCATTTTGTCCACTTGATAATGAACATGCATGTGATGTAAGTTTTGTCTTCTCTCAGCAGAAAATGCATACTGACTCTTACAGTTTAGCACAAACAATCCCAGACCCTGTTCAGCCAGTGAAGGAGCCCCAGCCTGTAGCCATCCCCTCCCAGATGCTTATGGCTTATTGACAGAGGCTCTTAGAAATGTCTAGGGTGTACGTCCCAGCACTGCCACCAAGGTCACTCATTTAGCCAAGGTTAGCCCCAAGTGAACTGGTGAAGTAACTGAGGTGTGTAAGCAGTCTCCTGGAACCCCTGTTTTCCTCCAGTCTCCCCAGGTGCCCAGCTTCCTCTTTGTTGTTCTGAGTCTTGCCTAATGGTTTGCTAAGGCTTCTCTTTGCCTTTAGCATAAAATCCCACCCCCTTATCATGGTTTGGCCTGTCCATACCTCTGACCACTTCCCAGACCTCTTTCCCCCTGAATCTGCTAAGGATTAGGCTCCAGTGTTGCCAGCCTGCTTTTGTTCTCATAGCACCCAAGCCTTTTCTGGCCTTGAGGCCCCTTACTTGAAGGGGTCTCTCTGCCATCATGAGCCTGGATCCTTCTCATCCTCGGGGCCCAGCTCATGTGTCCCCTCCTCTGTGGGAGCCCTTCCCTGCCATGCTGTTTAATGTAGCACCCCCCCACACCCAATCTCTATCATACTGTCCTACACTTCTTTCCCAGCACTTGTCAAATTTCAAAGATTCTGAGACATACATTTTCTAAATTGAAATTTTAATTGAGATAATTGTAGATTCACATGCAGTTATAAGAAATAATAGAGGTCCTTTATTAATTTTATAGGTGCCCCCAATGGGGACACTTTACAAAACTGTAGTATGATGTTACAACCAGGATATTGACATAAATGTGATCCCTAGATCTTACTCAGTTTTCCCCAGTTTTACTTGCACACATTGCTGTTTGTATGAATGTATATGTGTGTTCTAATTTCTATAAAATTATTACCCATGTCATGCATCTGCCCCCTAGTCAGGACTCTGAACAGCTCCATCACTGCAAGGAGCCCTGTGTTGCTCTTCTAACCATGTCCACCTCTCCCTGTGCACCTCCCACCCTCTCCCATTCCTAGCTTCTTGCAACCATTCATCTGAAAATGTTTTCTCATTTCAGAAACGTTATAAACATGGAATCAGGTGGCATAAAACCTTTTGCGATTTGCTTTTTTCACTTAGTATAATTCCCTGGAGAATCCAAGTTATTATGTGTATCGCAAACTTGTTCCTTTTTATTGCTGAGTTGTATTCAAGGTACAGGTATACCACCTGTTGAAGGACACCAGTGCTAATTCCAGTTTTGGGCTATTACAAATAAAGCTGTTATGAACATTCATATACAGAATTTTGTGTGAATATAAATTTTCATTTTTCTGGGATAAATACCTATGAGTACAATTGCTAGGTTATGTGGTAATTACATGGTTTGATTTATAAAAAGCTGCCGAACTGTTTTTCCAGAGTGGCTATGCCGTCACATTCCTGCCAGCAGGGTAAGAATTATAAGCCATACGTTGTTTCCAATTTTAAAAAGGATGATTTTTAACTAGGATGCCTTTTGAACCTTTTTTTTTTTTTACCACTTTAACCATCAATTTTTGGTCATACCTTAAATAGTGGTTCATTTTACAATCAGTGTCTTCTTAGATTATCTCCTTTACTGATGCGATGACCTATTTGCCTTCAAGAAGGCAGAGATTCTGCCTGTATGATTTACTTTGCCTTCTCAAGGCCTAACACAATTCTGGGTACAGCAGGGTACTTAATAACTATTTGTTAAATATAGGAACAAAAGTATTAATTGTTCATGTTGACTAAAAGTACAAGTGTTAGAATTCTTAGTATTTTTTTGTGTGCTCACCCACCATGATGTAATGTTATCACCATTTTGACAGAGGATCCCTGAAGGATCCCAAATCTAATTATAGAGAAAAGTGCTTATGGAGGAAAATCCCATTTCAGTTAGATTTATTTCTTAATATATAACACCAGAAGCTGGCTTATGGATGGTCACTTTAAATATTTTTTAAAAATCTTATTTAATAAATAATATAAAATACAAAGTGATGCAGAAGGCTTGAGCACTCAACAAAGTGAAAAGAAGATATAAGGATACAAACTTTAAATTATAAGATGAATTAAGGTCCTGAGGCTCTAACATATGACATGGTGACTATAGTCGATAAACACTGTATTGTATAATTGAAATTTGCTGAGGGTAGAACTTAAATGTTCATACAGAAAAAGTAAAAAAATTAAAATGGAGCCCATTGTTTAGAAACAAACAAGGACAGGATTGAAATACAGAGGGAACCAAGTTTACACATTTTTTTCATTGATGCATTATGCTAAAAATGAAAGAAAAATAAATTTCTATTATTTTTAATAATTATATCAAAATCTTAAAGTTTATTTTGGAGGAGGAATGGGGAATAAAAAAATGGGAGAAATTAGTTAATTCTCTGTAAGTGAATGTTTCTTAAGTTTCAGAAGTTGAATTGTCTGTCTGCATTCTTGAGGTAGGTGGCAGGATAAGGTTTTTTGTTTTTGTTTCTTATTTTAGTATGTTTTACAAACCTTAATATTCAAAGCTGGTTTTCAAAGTCTTTTTAAAAATTAAATTAAATTTTAATTTTAAAAATTAATCTTTTTGATTAAAGCTTTTGCTTAAAAGTAAATTTAAGTAAATTAAGTAAACAAGAAGTAAATTTAAAACTGTATATGTTTCATCTTTGATCATTAGGTAAGTAGAGATAGCATTAAATAAAAGTATGCATCCTAAATTTAAAGTACTTAATGTATAGGGAAATTTCCCTTCTAGGTTGATACTAACTTGATTACAAATATAGTTCTAGTAGAAATGTAGCCTTCTCTCCTGACTCTCTCCCTTTACTTCCACAGTTAAAAATAAGAAAAGAGGTAGAAAATGGTTTTTATAGAAGGCTTTCATAAGTACTTGGTGTTTGCTAAAGAAGTTTGTTGTAAATGTGTTACATTTCACATGTCAGAATACAATTGTATTTTAACAGTATTGCTATTCTAGGTAATACTGTATTCTAGATGATACGGCTTTACCTGATTTTCTTAAGTGCTGAGAACACTCAGTTAATACTTAAATAACTTGTTTGTTACTAGGTTTGTTTGCCTGTGTATGAAATATAGAATATGCCTTAATATAGAAACATCAAACACCACTAAATGCATTATCCTACTATATCTTTTCTTTTTACTCTAGCTGATCCACAGTTCCTGCCGAGTGCTTCACTTTGTCACTAGAAGTCAACGATTCTTAGCAGCCAGTTTGTTCACTTTCTCTCCCCAGCATGTTTCTTTGAGATTAGCCTGGATTTTTCAGAACCTGATTGAGGTAAGAAAAAATTAAAAGAGTAAAAATAGTAGTTTGATTATTTGACCGAAAATTAAATGTTCACCACGTATTGGGATGGAAGACAGGAATCTTTACTCAGTTCATTTTTTTATACCTTTTAATTCTGAGTCATAGCACATACAGAAAAGTTAACAAAACAAAAATGTACCACTCAGTGATTCACTGTAGAGCACACATCTGTGTAATACTAGTTGAATCAAAAGCTAGGTGTATCACATTTTCTTTCCCCTTAGAATTTCCATGTTTATTTCTCAACACGTTAGTTTTGCCTGAATATTTTTGAACTTTGTATGAGTAGAATCAGAGTATTTATTCTTTTGTGCCTGACTCCTTTTGCTTAACATTATATTTGTGAAATATACCTACATTGTGTATAAATTAATTTCTTTATATCTTCTATGTGTTCAGTGTATGATTTCACCATAGCTTTTCAAATCTGTCCATTCTGTTCATACATATTTGAGCTATTATTAAATATCTGTACATGTAAATGCATTTCTGCTGTATCTGTATGTGGAAATAGAACTTTGAGGGATAAATATATATACATACACACACACACACACACATATATATATATATATGGATCTTCACCTTTAATGGGTAATGTCAAACACTTCTCTACAGTTTTTGACAATTTATAAACCCACCACCAGTGAATGAGAGTATAAGTCTTTATTTTAGCCATTTTGGTGGGTAAGTAGTGATATCACATTGTGATTTTAGTCTATATGCTGCCCAGAGAGAACACACTTTAGATGCAGAAATGCACATCAGTTCAGAGTAAAATGGTGGGAAAGATATATCCTGCAAACAGCATAAGAAGTTAAGTGGCTATACTAATACCAGATGAAATAGGTTTTTAAACAAAAGATGTTACTAGAGAGAAAGAGGCATTTTATAATGATAAGAAGGTCAATTGAGCAGAAATATACAGGGATATCTCATTTTATTGTGCTTCACAGATACTGTCTTTTACAAATTGAAGCTTTGTGGCAACCCTGCATCCAGCAAATCTGTTGGTGCCATTTTTCCAGTAGCATTTGCTTATTTTGTGTCACTGTGTCCATTTTGGTAATGCTTGCAGTATTTCAAACTTTTAAATTACTATTATATTTGTTATAGTCATCTATGATAGCACTGAAAGGTCTGATGATGGTCAGATTGTTTTTAGCTTTAAAGTGTTTTTAACTAAGATATATACATTTTTTTTAGGTATAATGCTATTGCATATTTAATAGACTACCATATAGTGTATATATAACTTTTATATGCACTGGGAAGTCAAAACATTGTTTGAACTTGCTTTATTGTAGTATTTGCTTTATTGCTTTGTCTGGAACCAAACACACAATATATCCAAGGGATAACTTTGCCTATTTTATGTATACAACATGATGAGTTTGGTGAGCCTAGTTACTTGTGTGTGTGTGTGTGTGTGTGTGTGTGCGCGCGCTAGACATGGTACTTACAAAATTGTGTGTAGAAATTAAGAGAGCCTTAATGTAATGCTATCCATCCTGCTCTGGATAGGATTGATGTTTGTTTCTTCCATTCTTCCAGGCCCAGAATTATCTCAATCAAATTTAATGATTGTGATGATTCAGAGCTGAGCTGCAGTTCTGTGAGAGCCTGTACGTTTAGTTTACCTTACCCACAGGGTAGAACCAGCTGGTGCCCTGACCCAGTGTGGGGAGGACTGACCTTGGTTTTTCTACCTCAGGAAGCCCTGATGTCTCTCTGTGTCCAGAAGTCTCACAAAGGCCTAGTACCTTTCAGAGGGCCTGGCACTCAAGTATTTTTTGAATGAACAAGTGAACTTACTACTTGCCAGGCATTGTTGCTATTCACTGAAGTACAAATTAACCTTTGTCTTATCTGGAACAAATTTTAGAATCACAATATCTGAATATCAGTAGAGGTTGAAATATAATATTACTGTACGCACTCCATATTTAAATGGTATAATACTTCAATGGAATGTTCAAAATACTCATTATAAATATTCTACAGATGACCTGTTTTGGGAATCATGTCATCTGTTTTCATTTTGTTGATCCTTTCTACTGTTAAAATATAATTCATCTTGAAATGCCTCCATTTGCAGTCATTTTTATCTGTTATTTAGCAAGCATTTCTTTTGTTTAACATCTGGTGTTTACCACCAGCCCTTTTAAGTGTCGAGGTTATACATATGAATGCAATCTAGTCCCTGCTCTTACAGAGCTTAGGGTCTAGTAGGGAAGTAATGTGAGTTAGTGGCTGTGTGGGAGATATCCACAGGGTGTGGGGGTGGGCAAAGCCAGGGAATGCTAGTCTTGAAGGACAAATAAAGAGTTGGAGAGGTGATGAAGTATGATTTAGGGAATTGTTGTCCAGTAGTTAATAATATCTTAATAAGCATTTTGAGCACTCTATTAGGTAGTTTAAAGAAGTTTTGATACTTTTGTTTCCTTTGACATTTTTATGCAAAGGGTTAGGAAATTTTTTCTGTAACATGCCAGATAATATTTTAGGCTTTGAAGGCCATAAAGTTTCTGTCACACCTGCTCTGCTGTTATAGCACAAAAGCGGCCATGAATAATCATAATATACCTCCTGTTTTAGCACAAAAGTGGCCATGAACAATCATATTATGTATGTATGTATGTATACACTTTCTTTTTTTATCACAAAAGTAACACATGCTTGATGTATAATTAAACTCTTTCATACCCTTTAGTAATTATTAGACCCATTGAGGAAATTCCTTATGGATATATTAATTTTTATCAAAAATAGGATTATATTGTATTTACTGATCAATATTTAGTAATTCAGCCTCTTTGAATTGACTTTGTGTTGTTCTGTTTCCAAGGTGCAAAAGGCGATTGAAGAGGATAATTGCTGTTTTGGAACTGTTGACACCTGGTTGTTACATAAGCTCACAAAAGGTAAAGATGATCCGGCAGATCTATCTCAAGTAGCAGAAATTTGATAGAAATGATTCACTTGAAAAAAGAAGTCACTGTTTTTTCCTTCCCATATTCCAGACATACCACTCTTTGGTACCCTAGCAAACTACCCATTATAGTTAAGCTAGATTAAGTTCAGATTTGTTGTAAGAGGAGGATAATTTTAAAATTGTGATGAAACTTCAAATATAAGGCTTAGAAACTATCTTAATTTCAAGAGTGCTAAGACTTTTAAGTTCAATACCAAATCTGCCACTTTGCAATTGGGTATAAATCAAAGCAAACCCCATTGCATCTCTGGCCTCTCTTCCTTACCTTTAAACTCGGTGTCATGACAAGACGGAGCATGTGCAAGTGCTTTTGCTAACCATAAAATTCAAGGAGATCAAGTGGGAAGTTGCTTTGGAGACTTCCTGCTGGAAATAGATTTTGGAGTGAATTTGAGGGTGCAGAGAGGTCTAGATTATAGACTAGTGGTGGGTGTTGATTCACACTACCTGGTAATAAATGTATTATTTCCAATGTAAATCTAGGTTCTGAATTTGCAACAGATTTTTCAAATGCCAGTACAACTGGACTTTTTGACCCATATGAGGTAAAGTGTGCTTTCCTTATTACTGAATCACCGAATTTTGTGTAACTTAGCTTGGATTCTGATGGCATATTTTTACGCTCAGATGTGTTGGAGTGGGCTCATTACCTCCCTACTTTCAATACCACTTTCTCTCCTGCCTCCTGTGAGGGATACAAGGTAACAATGAACATCAAACGTAAAAACCAGCAAAGTTGTCCCTGAATTCATTTGCCTTGGTGGGGAAAAGCATTAATTATTGCATGCTTGAGGTGCTTGTATGTTCATTATATAATTTTATTGGCCTCTGGTAAAAACAATTTGTTGAGCTTTAGAATTAGTATTTCTAGAGCTATAACTTACTTTTTAATCAATTTTATTTGAAGCCACAATTTTGGATCAGTGGATGAAGAGATATTTGGTGTGCCTATACCAATAGTGGCCTTGGTAAGTAGAAAACTTGAGGGTTCCTCCATGATTTGTATTAACGAATTGAGAATGTATATGAATAGTTGGGATTAGAGTTAAGAGACACAAATGGTCCTTGCAGAATAAAATTAAAGTATGTTGTTTCTTTTGAAGTTAAAGGGCCCTGGATATAGTCAGAAGTATTCTCTCTGTTGTGGAAAGTGGACCACTGGGGCTTCTATCATGGAAGCACTTTGTAACCTTTTCTGAGTTCTCTATATATTGTTTTTAGACAACTGTGTTAATTTTTTTCTCAAATGTTGTATTCTGAGTAATGTGTATTTTATATTTGATCCTCTTTGAGACAAAACAGTGATAGGGCCAACGCGTATTGGTATATTTGATAGAGTGTACCCATAAACAGTGACAGGGCAATAAAGAAGGAAGTTATATTTACATATTATAAAATCCTTAGCCAGCATCTACTAGTAGAGGAGCTGTGGAAGAGTGAAAAATTAGCTGTTTCTGGGTTTTAAGGGTTTGTTCTTGATGATATTCTTTCTCTCTGACTGGATGAGAAAGAATTTAAAAAATCCAAAGGTTTTTATCACCTGATTGAGAGCTTGTGTGTGTGTGTGTGTGTGTGTGTGTGTGTGTGTGTGTGTGTGTGTGTGTGTAATTCTCAACTAGTGATACATGCATATTTAGAGTTTTGGTGCTAAGTTTTAAAACTCAGACCTTGCCTTTGATTTCCTGTAAGAGCTTAAGCAGGAGGTAGAGACCATGTCCTTAAATGGAAAGTCACCACAGTCAGTGCAGGAAGGTGAGGGAAGGGAAATTTAATTCCCAAGTTACAAATTCCTAGTCATTTAGAGGATCAGTCTTACTAAGTCTAGGGGTAGACTCAGGTTTAGGTTAGGGTGTGGCTGGAAGAATTTTCAATTAGTGAGAAAGCGTTCTTCCATTGAGTTCTGGTCCTTAAAATATTGCTGTATATAAACATACACATATAATCTACACTTAATTATATTAACAAAATGTTACAATTATTATTTTAACAAAACATATGGTTGGGAAATGTATGGTTTTGACCTACATCTGTTTCTAGTTAAGCATACACCCATCACTTTTATTAAAAGAGAAATTTGTGAGGCTAGTTACTTTGACTAAGGAACGAAACCTCTTGTAAGTGGAAAATGAAAAATCTGAGTTGTTTTTTTCTGCACAACTCCTAAAGTCCCTGAGGCTAGTCCTGGAGACACTCCTATCCTATGAGAGTTGCTCTCTGTTCTCTCCAGGGATTTTTGTTTGTTTGTTTGTTTTTTAAGGTTGTTTTTTTTAAGGAAAAGGAAAAAGGAAAGAAAGTATTGACTCATGAGAATACAGTAAGTGAGACAGTGGGAGGCGGTGAAACGAGATGCTGTGGAAGAGTGAAAAATTAGCTGTTTCTGGGTTTTAAGGGTTTGTTCTTGATGATATTCTTTCTCTCTGACTGGATGAGAAAGAATTTAAAAAATCCAAAGGTTTTTATCACCTGATTGAGAGCTTGTGTGTGTGTGTGTGTGTGTGTGTGTGTGTGTGTGTGTGTGTGTGTGTGTGTAATTCTCAACTAGTGATACATGCATATTTAGAGTTTTGGTGCTAAGTTTTAAAACTCAGACCTTGCCTTTGATTTCCTGTAAGAGCTTAAGCAGGAGGTAGAGACCATGTCCTTAAATGGAAAGTCACCACAGTCAGTGCAGGAAGGTGAGGGAAGGGAAATTTAATTCCCAAGTTACAAATTCCTAGTCATTTAGAGGATCAGTCTTACTAAGTCTAGGGGTAGACTCAGGTTTAGGTTAGGGTGTGGCTGGAAGAATTTTCAATTAGTGAGAAAGCGTTCTTCCATTGAGTTCTGGTCCTTAAAATATTGCTGTATATAAACATACACATATAATCTACACTTAATTATATTAACAAAATGTTACAATTATTATTTTAACAAAACATATGGTTGGGAAATGTATGGTTTTGACCTACATCTGTTTCTAGTTAAGCATACACCCATCACTTTTATTAAAAGAGAAATTTGTGAGGCTAGTTACTTTGACTAAGGAACGAAACCTCTTGTAAGTGGAAAATGAAAAATCTGAGTTGTTTTTTTCTGCACAACTCCTAAAGTCCCTGAGGCTAGTCCTGGAGACACTCCTATCCTATGAGAGTTGCTCTCTGTTCTCTCCAGGGATTTTTGTTTGTTTGTTTGTTTTTTAAGGTTGTTTTTTTTAAGGAAAAGGAAAAAGGAAAGAAAGTATTGACTCATGAGAATACAGTAAGTGAGACAGTGGGAGGCGGTGAAACGAGATCTGACATTTGGGCATATTTGGCAGGTGGCGGACCAGCAGTCAGCCATGTTTGGGGAGTGCTGTTTCCAGGCAGGGGACGTGAAACTAACCATGGGAACCGGCACATTTTTGGATATTAATACTGGAAGTAGCCCGCAACAGACTCTTGGAGGTAAATAGAATTTATCCTGCTTATTAATAAACTATCACCTCGTTTCTTCTTTAACTTTTGTGATACTTCTTTCCAATTTTATATTAAGGATATACTCTAACATATTTTTCATTATTGTTCTTAGAGACAATCCCCACTTCCCTTTTTTCTTTAAAAGCATAAAAAATGAGGAAGATACTATTGTAAAATTCAGAAGGATTAGGGCATTTTGGTCAGCTTTTCAAATATTTACTTATATTACCTGTTGTATTTCTTTAAAACGTCTGTTTTAGGTCTATAAACTTTCTTCTATATGTTAAAAAATATTCCTCTTTTTGTAATTTTTTTTTGGGGGGTGGTAGTTCTCCACTAGTGATCCATGCATATTTAGCATTTTAGTGCTAAGTTTTAATGCAATTGCTAAGAATTTGCTCTCCCTAATGGAGGACATCCTGGGATGTGCAAACCAAGAAGTTTAGGTGGTGGAACCACACCCAGGAGGGCTGGGGGCTCTTTGTCTGGGCTCTGGTCCACTAGCATGGTTACTAAGGTAGATTTTAAAATAATTTTTCCTACCTTCCATCCCCTGGTGAATCTCTTGTTTACCTCCTAACTGGGAAAAGGAAAGCTAGAAAATATTGATCGTTGCACTCATTTGTTTCTATTTAGGAGCCTTGTTTAGAAACTGCAGATAAATGTGAAAGCATAGTTAGTTCTCTGGTAAACCAATCTCATATAATAGCTTTTCATTCCTCAATTAAATGTTGTTTCTGCATTTTTAGAGACAGAGATATGCCTACAGCTAATATGAGACAATAGTTATTGTTTATGTTATATGCCAGGCACTGCACTATGTTCTTTTTGTGTATTAACTTAGTTTATTCTACAGTTCTCTGGGGTAGACCATTTTATAATCAAAGAAACTGAGGCTGAGATGTTAGAAACTTGTAAGACCACAGCTAGTAAATGAAGGAAGATTGGGATTTGAACATAGTCTGACTTCAGAGCCACTTTGCTATTATTTGAGATGATTAGGTGTTCCATTGTAGATATCTCTGTAATGAATTATCTATTTATTAGATGACTTCCACTGTTTGTTTTAAGGCTTTTATCCACTAATTGGATGGAAGATTGGGCAAGAAGTCATTTGCTTAGCTGAAGGCAATGCAGGAGATACTGGTACTGCCATAAAATGGGCTCAGCAATTAGGTAAGTTGTCTTTTAAATAGATTTCACAGGCAAGACTTATTAAAGAATTCAAGAATGCCACAGGATTACAGACAGTAGAGAACACATGGATTGTCCAAATGAAACATAAGATAAAATGGCATGTACTACAAGAAAACACAGGATGTTATTTTTACAATCTTGGGATGACAGAGGCTAGGAGTTAAGGCCAAATGCTGTAAAGACAAAGTAAAATACATTTAAATATATAGACTATTAGAATGTATAGGGAGAGAGATGCCATAATCAAAGTTAAAAGAAATTGCTAAGAATAATTTGTAGCATATGTCAGAAAAATGAATAGAGATGACAAAAAAGACAAAGGACAGTATAGTTATTTTGTAAGTCAAACGACTATTAAAAATGCTATTCAAATTCAGGAATCAGAAATACACATTTAACAAATGATGTCACCTATCATTGTCAGAGATGAATTTGTTCACTGATGCTCAGCGTTGGTGGTAATGAAGAGAAAAAAGTATTCTTGTTTTCCATTGGGATGAACATTAATTAGTATGGCTTTTCCGTAGGACAATCAGATAATACATATTATTTTCTACAGGGCAGACCCTTTGCCCTCAGTTCTGTTTCCTAAGATAGTGATCGTAGAGGTATGCAAAGACACGTATGTACATGGGTGTTTAATACAGCAATTGGAAGTCAGCTCCTGTCTAGTAATAAAGCATTGAGTAAGTGGGTGTCAGCATATGCATGCAGTGGAACATAGTACAGTCACAGATAATGGTGTAATCGCATATCTTATTTATATGGAACATTGTGATACATTAAGGAGGGGATGAAGCTGTTGCAGAGCAATCTATACAAGTATTTTTTGCTTTTTTAAAAAGAACTTTATTAAGATGTAATTCACATAAAGCATATAGTTCAGTGTTTTGAGTACTCTCTAAGGCTTTGCAGCCATCACTACAATCTAATTTTGGAACATTTTTATTTCCTCAAAGAAACCCTTATACCCACTGGCAGTGACTCCCTGTTCCACCCCAACCCAGCCCTAAGCACACATTAATCTAGTACCTGCCTCTGTGGACAGAATCATGCAATATATTGTCTTTTGTAACTGGCTTCTTCCACTCAGTGTGTTTTCAAGGTTCATTTATGTTACAGCCTGTATCAGTACTTCATTTCCTTTTTATTGTTGAATAATATTCTATGTATGGACCACAATTTATCCATTCATTAGTTGATGGACACTTGAGTTGTTCCCACATTTTGGTTAATGAATAATTAATCTGTCTGTATGTTGTGCAACCATATTTCATGTAAGCTGTGAAATGACATGTACCAAAGTATTAACAGTGGTCATCTCAGATGACTTAATTGTGGAGCAGGCTCTTTCCACTTGGCTGATTTGAACTAAGGTGATTTGTTTAAAGACAAAGGTAATTCTGTTGGCCAAACAGATATGCTCTTAGGAGGAAAATACCAATCCAATTCTTCCTGCCTTCCTTTCTCTCTGTATGAGCCTGTACCTGCATTGTAAGCATAAGATTACTTCTTAACAACAACAAAATGCTTGTTTCAAAGCTTTTCAATCATTTAAAAGTCTCTTCCTTTTTTCTTTCTTATAGCAACCACTGATAATAGCCTTTATTTTTTAAAATTTTTTATTAAGGTATGATTGATATACACTCTTATGAAGGTTTCACATGAAAAAACAATGTCGATACTACATTTACCCATATTATCAAGTCCCCACCCATATCCCAATGCAGTCACTGTCCATCAGCGCAGCAAGATGCCACAGATTCACTATGTGCCATCTCTGTGCTACAATGTTCTCCCCATGACCCCCCACACCATGTGTACTAAACATAATATCCCTCAATCCCCTTCTCCCTCCCTCTCCACAAGCCCTCCCACACCCCTCCCCTTTGGTAACTACCATTTCATTCTTGGAGTCTCTGAGTCTGCTGCTATTTTGTTCCTTCAGTTTTGCTTCCTTGTTATACTCCACAAATGAGGGAAATCATTTGGCACTTGTCTTTGGCTTATTTCACTGAGCATAATGTCCTCCAGCTCCATCCATGTTGTTGCAAATGGT